TCCCGCGTCCTCCCCCCGCTGCGCTGTCCCTGCTGTGTTTACGTGTCCATTTCCCCCTGAGGTGAGTGCGGGGGCTGTGTGTCTGCCACTTCCATCACCAGGCTCTAGCTCAGCGGTTCTCAACCTTCCTAAAGCCGCGACCCTTTCGTGCAATTCCTCATGTTGGGGTGACCAACCCCCCCCCCAATTTCGTTGTTACACATTGAACATAATGAAAGCATCGTGATGAATCACAAAAACAGTATGTAATCATCTATGTGTTTTCGGATGGTCTTAGGCGACCCCTCTGAAAGGGTGGGGGTCGGACGACCCACAGGTTGAGAACCGCTGCTCTAGCTAGTACGCAGGAGGAGGTAAATACAGGGGACCCCAGTATTTTGGGGTCATCCCCCCCCGCTGTGATAGGTGCTGGTGGAAATGCAGACAAGTCAGGGCGAACCAAGCGAGTGTTCCATACTTACGGCCGTTCAGCCTGAATCTGGAAGCGGGAAAGCAGCGCCTCCCGGATTTCCTCAGTGACAAAGAGCAGGGGCCAAAGGTGGCTGGGTCTCTTGTCCAGTGGAAGGTCCTGGGCTGCAGGTAGCACCCGGACGGGTGCAGGAGTGCAGGGTTGCTTGGCAGTGGCCCTAGGATCCTGGGGATCAGCTCGGGTTGGACTACGTGCAGGAAGTGAGGAGGGCCCTGCTCTTTGTAGGTCCCTCTCAGGAGGGCCAGTGGGAACAGACTCAGAGACGGCAGTTCCGGGCTGCTCAGCCCGTCCTGGTGAGATCTAGGCTAGAGGAGAGAAGCAGCCGCTTACCACATTTCTTGTGAGGCTCGGGGGGGGGAGCGGTGGGAGAAACAGGGAACTGAGCCCTCGCTGGTGTGGCTCGGTGGATAGAGCGTCGGCCCGCGGACTGAAGGGTCCTGGGTTCGAGTCCTGTCAGGGGCATGTGCCCGGGTTGCGGGCTCGATCCCCCGTAGGGAGCGTGCAGGAGGCAGCCGATCAGTGAATTCTCTCTCATCGTTGATGTTTCTCTCTCTCTCTCCCTCTCCCTTCCTCTCTGTAAGAAATCAATAAAATATATTTTAAAAAATAATAAAAAATAAAATGAAATTTAAGAAAGGATCTCTCTAAAGATTTTCTAAAAAAAAGAGAAAATAATTCTAAATTAAAGGTTCTCTCCTCAGAAAAATGCGCACAACCATGGAAGCCCTCATCCCTGGATCTTAGGTGAGGAACGTCCTGATTTCCTATTTGGGGTTTAAATGTCGTGATGTCTGCGATAAAATATATTTAAAAAAAAAAAAAAGAAATAGGTAACTGGAAAATCTTCCAGGCCGTAGCCACTACGGAACCAGTGACTCAACAAAAACGGGACCCACGGGGCTGCTACTAGCCCAGGGAATAGTGAATGCGGCAGCTGCTTCGTTGGCCCAAGGCGTTACAGAGCCACGGCACTGGCCACGCCAGGGAGAGATTACACGGGAGCCACGGAGGGTGGGGCTATTGCCAGATGGGAATACAGAGACCCAGCCCCTTGTGAGAAGGTTGGGAGCGGCACTTGGCTGGATACCAAGGGAGCTTGGGAGGGAGCGGACGTGAAAAGAACCAAGAGACTCTTTCCTAAGGCCCAGCATACACTGCTTTCCCCGCCTGCACTGCCAGATACCATCCCATCAGCCTCCTGGGCCGCAGCCGCCACCGGTGCCGGGACAGCCCTGGCCCCCGCTCTGAGAGACGCTGCGCAGAGCCCCTCACCCGACCCTCGGGCGATTTTCTCTGGTTCTGCTGGCCGGATTGCACGATGCTGGTGATCTGCTCGACGATCCCCAGGCGTCGGATGAGGTTCTCCCTCCGCAGCAGGGCGGTCAGCCGCTCCAGCTCCTCCTCCTCCACGATTTCCTGCGGCTGCATCGTGTCCAGGTGTCCCGCCAGCAGCTACAGGGCACAGGAGAGACGCATGCAGGCTCTCCAGCGATGAGTCCCAAACCATCAGCAAGTCGACGGCAGGCCTCCTGCCCCCTCTACCGCCGTCCCTTCCCCTGACCCTCGTGCCGGGTCCCCTTTGCTACCCGTTCTCTCACGATCTGTTCCAAAAAGTCGGATTCAGTGGACTCATTAGGAACTCCTCTCTCCCTCAAACGAGGAGAGGACAGCGGATCCCCCTCTCTAGTAGTCCCAACCCATTTTCCTGCAGAAAGGCAAGAGCCAGGAAGCCCCCGACACCTTTTGCGCCCGTGTCCGGTTCCGGTACGCCAGGTGGGTGGCCAGGCCGTGGAACCGGGGCCTGGGTCGCCTGTTCTCCCCTGCCGACTCCCCCGGGTTCTGCTCCTTGTTTTCCTTTGGCTTCTTAGAGTCTAAGACCTCCCGCTGCTTCTGCTTAAGGCGGAACTCTTCCCGTTGCTGCCTGACAAGATACAGCAGCTTCAGTCACTGGAGAAATTGTGGGGGGAAGTGGGAGGGGGAGAGGGGAGGGGATATGGGGATGGGAGAAGAGTAGGACATTATGTTCTGTTTTGGGGACTGATGGGAGAGGCATGTGGGGAAGATGGAAAACCTACTAAACCAGCGGTTCTCAACCTGTGGGTCGCGACCCCTTTGGTGGTCGAACAACCCTTTCACAGGGGTCGCCTAAGACCATCCTGCATATCAGATATTTACATGACGACTCATCACAGTAGCAACATGACAGTGATGAAGTAGCAACGAGAATAATTTTATGGTTGGGTCACAACATGAGGAACTGTATTTAAAGGGCCAGGAGGTTGAGAACCACTGTAACGAAACTGAATCAGGAAGACTGATAGGATTTATAATCCCCTACCCCTCTTTCCTCTAGGGCCGTGGTCGGCAAACTGCGGCTTGAGAGGCACATGCGGCTCTTTGGCCCCTTGAGTGTGGCTCTTCCACAAAATACCATGTGTGGGCGTGCGATTGAAACTTCGTGGCCCGTGCGCAGAAGTCGGTTTTGGGCCTGGGTGAGTCTATTTTGAAGAAGTACTGTTGATATTTGCTCTGTCGAGTTGTGGTGACCCCCAATTTCATGGTTACAAATTGAACATAATTAAAGCATAGTGATTAATCCCAAAAACAATATGTAATTATATATGTGTTTCCCGATGGTCTTAGGCGACCCCTGTGAAAGGGTCGTTCGACCCCCAAAGGGGTCGCGACCCACAGGTTGAGAACCGCTGCTCTAGGGGCTGGCGTCCTCTCCACCCACCCGGGGAGCAGTTCCCTTGAAGGAGCTGCCCCACCCGCGTGGAGGGGGGCCTGTACCTGGCGCACTCCTCCCGGGCCTTGGAAGCCGCCGTCTCCTGGAAGAGGGAGCCGCTGTGTTTAAAGAAGGGCGCATACTTCTCGGTGTCAGGCCCCGGGTAGATCCGCCGGTACCCGCCCAGGTGGGCGTCCTCATAGCACTCCTGGTCCAGCAGTGCCGCCTGGGACAGCTCCGTGAGGACTCGCCTAAGAAAACCAAGCTGGGGTGAGTCCGGAGGTCTGCGAGGAGGCGTCACGGCCTTTGCCCTGCCCCTGCGGTGGCAGCGGCCAGCCCCGTCTGTGTGTGGTAATGAAAACAGGCTTGACTTAAGCTGGGTCTCTGATCACAGAAGAGCAGAGAGAAGCTAAAACTGCCCGTCGCATTCGGATGCTGTGAGCATGTCGGCCATGAGCACAGACTGAGGCAGGACCTCCTGAGTTTGAATCCTGGCTTTGCCACTGGGCAGGCCCTTTTTTATTTATAATATGTTTTAATTTTTATGATTTTGTTTTATATTTTTATTGATTTCAGAGAGGAAGGGAGAGGGAGAGATAGAAACATCAATGATGAGAGAGAATCATGGATCGGCTGCCTCCTGCACACCCCTTAACTAGGGATCGAGCCTGCAACCCGTGCAGGTGCCCTTGACTGGAATTGAACCTGGGACCCTTCAGTCCGCAGGCCAATGCTCTATCCACTGAGCCACACCAGCCAGGGCAGCAGACTCTTTATTTATTCCCTCCTTCCTTTCTTCTTTTAAATGAAATTGGGATCATACAACAGCATTTGGAAATGGCTGTCTAATATTCTAGTGCACTAGAGCCCATGGCACAAAGATTCGCGCAATAGGACTTCCTTCCCCTGGCTGCTGGCAGCGGTTTTCCTCGGGCACCCAGGACCCAGGCCTTTGGTCTGGCCGCAGCGGAGAAGCCAAGCCTCTTCAGTCTGCAGTTGTCTTCAGTCTTCGCTTGGGCAGGAGCCTTCAGTCTTTGCTCTGTGCCTGCATATGCAAATTAGCCCGCCATCTTTGTTAGGTTAATTTGCATGCTCATCCTGATTGGCTGGTGGGTGTAGCAGAGTGATGACCAATTTACATCTCTTTTATTAGTGTAGATGATTGTACTTTTGTTTATTAAGTCCAGAGGTTTTCCGCCTTTTATCCCCATTGAAAGACACGGTTGATAAAGTCACGTGCACAATCCAATCTTGCGCGAATACCCAGGGCACATACAGTTACACTTTGCCTCCACTCATACAGACAGCTGAGTGCCTACTGTGTGCCAGGCCCCCCGGATATTACGGCAAATCAAGTACACATGGGCCCTGCATCTTGCAATGCAAGTGGGGAAGAGGGACGTATTTATTATAAGAATAATCCTAAATCTACTCCAATTCATTTTTTATTGATTTTTATTTTTTTGAGAAAGAGAAACATCGAGTTGTTGTTCCACTTATCGATGCATTCATTGGTTGATTCTTGTATGTGCCCTGACCAGGAATCGAACCCACAACCTTGGCCTATCGGGATGACGCTCTAACCAAGAGCTACCCGGCCAGGGACCACTCATTTTCATGTATCATCAACAAACTGTGATTTAGTGTCGGCAACAAATGACCATGTTTGCAAACCGTCTTACAATTAAAATAATAGTGAGTGGGCAATATTGATTTAAACTGCCCCTAAAAACAAAATAAACGAACTGTCCCCTAATAGTGAATGACTTACCTGTTTTGTGTTTTATTACTATACACTTTCTCAGGAAATGGTTTCTAGAGGAACTTTGTTAAAAACAACAGCAGCTAATCAAACCACATAACGCTCCTTATAAGCTAATTATGAAATAGCTGTAACGTACACTGTTAAGCAGGGAAAGTTGTGCTCCTGTCTGGGCAGTAAAAGGAGAAAAACAACTTGCATAAGTACATGTATGTGCATCGAATGTTTGTGAAAATACACACATGACCCGAGGAACACTGAGTAGCTGGAAGAGAAGGGCAGGAGACAGGCTAATGGCGGCATCTTTTGCACTTGAACATACTTGTCTATGACAGGTGATGTATTACTTATGCAAAAAATTGTTTTTAGTAGCTGATCAGCCCCGGGCTTTCATTCTCAGGAAAGTGATAACGAAGGAGACAAGTTACACAGCTTGCCCGGCGGCGTGGCTCAGTGGTTGAGCGCTGACCTCTGAACCAGGAGGTCACGGTTCGATTCCTGGTGGGGGCACATGCCCGGGTTGCGGGTTCGATCCCCAGCATTGGGCATGCAAGCGGCAGCTGATCAGTGATTCTCTCTCATCATTGATGTTTCTCTCTTTCTCCCTCCCTTCCTCTCTGAAATCAATAAAGACCTATTTTAAAAATAAATAAAACAGACACCCTGTCCCAGACGCCCTGAGCAGGTGGCCTCCCCCTTCCTAGACGCCCTGAGCAGGTGGCCTCCCCACTCCGAGACGCCCTGAGCAGGTGGCCTCCCCCTTCCTAGACGCCCTGAGCAGGTGGCCTCCCCCTTCCTAGACGCCCTGAGCAGGTGGCCTCCCCACTCCGAGACGCCCTGAGCAGGTGGCCTCCCCCTTCCTAGACGCCCTGAGCAGGTGGCCTCCCCCTTCCTAGACGCCCTGAGCAGGTGGCCTCCCCACTCCGAGACGCCCTGAGCAGGTGGCCTCCCCCTTCCTAGACGCCCTGAGCAGGTGGCCTCCCCCTTCCTAGACGCCCTGAGCAGGTGGCCTCCCCACTCCGAGACGCCCTGAGCAGGTGGCCTCCCCCTTCCTAGACGCCCTGAGCAGGTGGCCGCCTCTGCAGGCCCAGCTGGGGTGGGGGTCGGGGGTCTAGTAGGAGGGCTTAGGAAAGACATCTCCGCCAGTGGCCTCAGCCAAGGAAGCTGGATGCTCCGACTTCCCAGGCCACAGGACCTGCCACGGGGATCCCTCTAACACGGTGGTCGGCAAACCATGGCTCTCGAGCCACATGCGGCTTTTTGGTCCCTTGAGTGTGGCTCTTCCACAAAATACCACGTGCGGGCGTGCACGTACAGTGCGATTGAAATTTCGTGGCCCGTGTGCAGAAGTCGGTTTTTGGCCTGGGTGAGTCTATTTTGAGAAGTGGCGTTAGAGGAAGTGGGGGGTGTCAGCCGGTCG